CCTCCTGCACCCCAACCCCCTTCCCCAGCCCAGAGCCTGAACCCCCCTGCACCCAAACTCCCTCCCAGACCCTGCACCCCACACCCCCTCCTGCATCCCAACCCCCTGCCCCAGCCTGGTGAAAGTGAGTGAGGGTGGGGGAGAACGAGCGATGGAGGAAGGGGGGATAGAGTGAGAAGGGGCGGGGCTTCAGAGAAGGGGTGGGGCAGGTGCTGAGTGTGGGGTTTTGGAGGGTCCCCAAATTTTTTTAAATCAAAATGGGGGTCCTCGGGTTGCAAAAGTTTGAGAACTGCTGCTCTAGAGCACTGGGCTCGTCTTTCCTCTGCACTAGCTGGTGACTTTCACTTTAACTCAGGGTTTCTCAACCTTTTTGTGCTGCCGACCCACTTTGGACATAAAAAAAAAAGCGTTACCTCCCCACCTAGAAAAATTGTGACCCCCAGGGCTCCAGGCTTCAGTCCGTCTCAGGGCGTGGGGCCCTGGGCTGGATGTTTGTCTACATTTTCATATATATTGTATTCTGTGGTGTAACTGAAATCAAAGTGTATATTATTTTTTATTATACATATTTGCACTGTAAAAATGATAAACAAAAGAAATAGTATTTTTAATTCACCTCATACAAGTACTGTAGTGCAATCTCTTTATCCTGAAAGTGCAACCTACAAATGTAGATTTTTTTTTTTTGTTACATAACTGCACTCAAAAACAAAACAATTTAAAACTTCAGAGTCTACAAGTCCACTCAGTCCTACTTCTTGTTCAGCCAATTGCTCAGACAAACAAGTTTGTTTACATTTACAGTAGATGCTGCTGCCCTCTTCTTACTTACAATGTCACCAGAAAGTGAGAATAAGCGTTCGCATGGCACTTTTGTAGCCAGCATTGCAAGGTATTTACTTGCCAGATATGCTAAACATTTGTATGCCCTTTTATGCTTTGGACACCATTCCAGAGGACATGCTTCCATACTGGTGACGCTTGTTAAAAAAAAAATTGTTAATTAAATTTGTGACTCAACCTTTTGGGGGAGAATTGTATGTACCTGCATTCTGCCATATATTTCATGTTATAGCAGTCTCGGATGATGATCCAGCACGTGTTGTTCATTTTAAGAACACTTTCACTGCAGATTTGACAAAACGCAAAGAAGGTACCAATGTGAGATAAGATTGCTACAGCACTCGACCCAAGGTTTAAGAATCTGAAGTGCCTTCCAAAATCTGAGAGGGACGAGGTGTGGAGCATGCTTTCAGAAGTCTTAAAAGAGCAACACTCCGATGCGGAAACTACAGAACCCGAACCACCAAAAAAGAAAATCAACCTTCTGCTGGTGGCATCTGACTCAGATGATGAAAATGAACATGCGTCAGTCCGCACTGCTCTGGATTGTTATCG